AAAGAAAGAGATTTAGAAACACTGACAACAAAGTAAACACAATATGTCTCATAAATAGGAGCTTATTACCACTAAATACAGAGATAGAAAAATCAATATGGCTAAAACTTATGGCAGTAGCAGGCTGGGTTACAAACTGGATGAAATAAGTGCCTTTACAAGTTCCTCATGGGGAAAAAAAACAACCAATCAATATTCCTACATTTATCATATAAGGGTGTGTCACACGCGCAATGACATCAATCTAGATAGTCTATCTTCATCATTTAGTAGCTCCTTAAGATTTGATATTCTCTGTATCTTTTGACATATACAGTTAACTGTTATTAATTGCTGACACCGTCTTAGAGGATCTAATTATTTAAATATATTTACTTACATTCAAAGGCTGAATGTGTAGTCTGGGGCATTAACTGTGAGAAGACTTCCTGCAACAATGTATTTCTTTTAAAATATGTTAGGGACTAGGAAAATAAAAACAAGACACACTTAAAGGCAACAGCAACAAGGGAAACCACTGGTAAGCATAAATAATGCAATCAACATACTTCAAACATTTTCAGTGAGTGTGTTACAAAATCTACAGACGTTAAAAAAATTACGATAAACTATTACAATGTGTCATAAAGAGGACACATGCAATTCTTTTATTCCCCCCCCCCCCCCCCCCCCCCAATAAGTTAACATACGGAAGAGAAGAAGTGTTGCAAAATCTGGCATCACCTTTCTATGTATGTGAGCATATGTGTGAACGTATGTCTACTCTGTGTATGGAATCAATGATAATAAAAATGTTAGCATGCTTGCCTCGGAGAATGGTGGTCATACATTTGAATCCCAATCAAGGTGGCCACTTTGTTTTAATACATGCACTTCTGCGTCAAACCAGCTGAAAATGGGCACCAGGAAATATTGTAGAAAGTTTGGGGCCGCGTTAGTGCAGTCGATAAGAGGCTCGCTTTCAAATCCAGCTGCGACTTGCTGCAGCCAACGGCCGGTGTTCGAAACCAGGCGGTTCACCCAGCCTCTAAGAAAATGGGTACCAGAGTTGACACTCTGGGGTAAATGGAGGAACGTCGTTGTTGCTACAGAGTTAAGTGCGAACGGCGACACAGTCAGACAATTCTTATCAGCTGTCCATACTGGTCTTCTTCTACTTCTGCCTTTTTATCCCCCAATGGAGTATAGGCCCTAAAGCAACTCACGCCAAGTCGTTCTATCCTTCGCCAATGCATGGGGCTCTCCCCATGTCCTCCCAATCTTTCTAACCTCGTTCTCCAGCTCTCTTCTCCATGTGTTTTTTGGCCTTCATTTATTCCTATGCCCCTGTGGGTTCCAATGCAAAGACATTCTAGTAATGCTGTTCTCCTGTTTTCTCAGTGTGTGCCCTATCCAACGCCAGCGTCTTTTCCTCACTTCCTGATCCACTGGAGCCTGTTTAGTTCTCTCCCAAAGCTCTACATTAGTTATTCCATCATACCATTTTATTCCCTCTATTCTGCGCAGGCACCAGTTAATGAATGTCTGTAATTTATTAGTAATTGCCTTGGTTGTTCTCCATGTTTCCGCCCCATACAATAGTACTGATTTGACATTAGAATTAACAATTTTTAGTTTAGTATTTCTTTTAATTTCTTTTGACCTCCACAAATTCCCTAGTGCTATGAAAGCCCCTCTTGCCTTTTGTATTCTTATTTTAATATCTCTGTCAGTTCCTCCATCTTTATCTACATTACTGCCTAAATAGGTGTACGACTCCACGTCTTGGAGTGGGGTGCCATTAAGAGAAACAACATTACTATTTGCCTGATTTATTCTCATTATCTTTGTCTTTCCTTTATGGATTTTCAGACCAAGCTGCTGTGATCTCGCATTAAGTATATTTAATTTATCTTGCATCTGATTCCGTGAATGGGACAGAAGAGCAATATCATCAGCGAAGTCCAGATCATCAAGCTGTTTTGTAGGGGTCCACTGAATTCCATTCTCGGTGTTAGCAGTTACTGTTTTCATAGTCCAGTCTATAGCCAGTAAAAATAAGAGAGGCGACAAAAGACATCCCTGTCGCACACCTGTTTTTATTTCAAATGCATCTGTTAGCTTTCCCTCATGAAGAACTCGACATTTCATGTCTTTATATATTGCCTTTACTTAGTTGATAATTTTCTGTGGGATTCCATAGTGCCCCATCAATTTCCAGAGAGATTCCCTATCTATGCTGTCAAATGCTTTTTCACAGTCTATAAATCCAATGTAAAGTGGTGAGTTCAGTTCAATGCTTTGCTCTATTATAATACGTAATGTGGCTATCTGATCAGTACAGGATCTGTTTGACCAAAAACCTGCCTGCTCATCTCTTAGCATTTTATCAATAGCATCTTTTAATCTTTCCAAAATAATTCTACTTAATATTTTTCCAGGAACTGACAGCAACATAATTCCTCTATAGTTTTCACACTCCTGTAGATCACTTTTTTTGGGCAGTTTCACAAGATATCCTTCTCTCCAGTCTGCTGGTATTTCTTCGGTCTCCCAGACTTTACTGAATAATCTATGTAGCAATTCTGTTGATGTGTTTATGTTGGTCCTGATGGCTTCAGCTGGGATACCGTCTGGGCCTGTCGCCTTTCCTTCCTTGAGAAGATTTATAGCTTTTCTAATTTCCTCTTGGGATGGTATCTCACAGTTGATATCCAGTTCCATTTCTAAAGGCTGGATATCTGGGGGAACCTCTGGGCCTGGTCTATTGAGAAACATTTCAAAATATTCAACCCATCTGTCCATTTGATCTTTAGTGTTAGTAAGTACCTTTCCTTGACTATTTTTGATTGATCCAGTTGGCTGACTATATTTACCTACTAATTTTCTTGTGTTATTGTAAAGTTCTCTGAGGTTTCCTTTTGCTGCTGCTGTCTCTGCTTCTTGTGCTAGATCATTTAGATATTTCACTTTATCTGCCCTTATATGCCTCCTAACTTCCTTGTTGGCTTCTGTGTATTTCTCCTGAGCTCTAGCTTTAGCAGCTCTAGTTTTGCTATTGTTTAATTCTGCCTTTTTACTTTTCCTATCTTCAATCAGTTTAATTGTTTCTGGTGTTATCCATGCTTTATGTTTCCTTTCTTTCTTGCCAAGAACTTCTACACAAGATTCATTCCAGATTCCTTTGATCTGATCCCAGCAGACTTCTGTGTTGACATCTTCAGCTAACTGCTGCAACACCTGGTACTTATTAGAGACCGTAACTGAGAACTGTTCCTTAATTTCTTTATCTCTGAGAAAGCCTACATTATATTGGTTTCTATGATTATAAGATGTTATCTATCTTTTTAGTTTCAACTTGATTTTACTTACCACCAGGAAATGGTCAGTAAATACATCGGCACCTCTGAAAGCCCTAAAATCGTAAAGGGATGATCTAAACTTTTTGTTAATACATATGTGGTCAATTTGATTAGTTGTCTTATGGTCTGGTGATTCCCATGTTACTGGTGGCAGAGCACTTATGGTTTGTAACCATGTGCAATGACGCTGGTTCACATCTCCCAACTTTACCTTCACCTTTTTTATTGTAGAAAGTTGCCAACATGATATTAATCCCATCATCCATTTCAAGAGGTCTATAACACACACAAAATATGATGCTAGACCATATACTTAATGTGCCTCAAGGCATCATCTTCTTAGTGTTTAATGGCTGTAAACTCAAGCAGAAAATTCTGGTCATTCATCCACTTCTAGACTGTGGTCTTGCTCCAGAACTAGGCTTTTACATGCATATTCAATTTACAGATCTGGCTTATCTGTGTGCAGACTGTTGACTCCTTGCCTCTCAGGCAGATGTACTCAGACTTTGAAGGAAACACTTCTGATCAGTTGACTTTTACAACATACTTGTTACACTGGAATGGGTGTATTCTTTTTCCCTCTTAAAAAGGGTCCCAGACAAAACAAAGGGGGACCTCAAGGTAAGAAACAAGGTCTTTTGTGTGTTGGTATTGTTTTAGATTTTTTCATGTGTGTAGTCATGCAAAGAGAAAAAGTTAGGTAATCCCCAAAGCAGATTCTGCCATCAGGGTTTGGAGTGTCAGGCCTTAGGGCATTCTAGACAATATATGAAGTGGTTGGTCAAGTCTCTTCCTAAGCCATGCCGACCTCACTTTGTTTTGTGATTCGTGCCTTTTCCACTCTGTAATTGCAATGCGGCCAGGGGACTGAACTCCGGCATACTCCCCCGGCCACCATAATAAGTGGCCGTAGTTTTAAGGAGAACCCACACTTTTAACACATTCCCATTTAGAAATTTCTTACCAATGTTTGCAGAAATGTTACTTCATCAGGCTTCACCATCCAGTCCATGTCCGGATTATTGTCAGAGCGAATGCGAATTGTAAAAGGAGGCTCGGACATCATGAAATCCTGCTTTAAACTAAACTGTACTCAACAACTTCTTCTTGTGCTTAATTACCATTAATTTTGGCATTACAGTAACAATGTAGACTAGATCAATGTCATTGTAAGTATTTATATATAATATACCAGTTACATTGTCATTTCACGTAATAGAAGTAAATTAGATCGTTTTTGAAGCATTATCCTTGAATTATGAGCAACGTATGCGTTGCGAACGCGGTTTGTAGTTCCGAGGTGCCGCTGTTCGATTCTTAGCTAGCAGCTGACAACACGGAATTTGGCAGCAGTCGTCTGCGTTGACGGTTGGTTCCGACAGCGGTATCAACTATCAAGAGTCGACCTTAAGGATACCAAAAAAAAAAGTAACAAACAATTGGACGTAAAATTGCTAGTGAAATCAAAGCCCTAAAATGCTGAGATTGGTTCTGCAACGTCCTGTAAAGTATATGCAACTAACATATATAGAGACTAGAAAGAGATGAAGTGAAAGCCATGTTCTGTTGAGTTTCATGTTTACTGTTACTTCCTGAAATAATAAGTCTGATAGAGTTCTCTCCCCCTGATTCAAGGTCGCAGAGAAGCCAACAGAAATGGCCTCGTCTCTTACTCTCAGGTTACTGGGACATATTCGCAGTGCAGCTCATATGGCTGCCAGAAGGTTGTTTATGTGATTGTTTCGTTTCGAAGAACTGAATATCATATCCCTGCATGAACATGCTGTTATAGATTAGTTGCTTTTAGTGACATTTAGGTTTGGCACAGTAACTTGAGTAACTAACAACAGACTAGTTTAGTAGTTAGTAGTTTACTTATTAAATTAAATCGTTGAAACTGATCAAACTACTACTGGTAACTACTAGTTACCAGTAGTAGTTTGATCAGTTTCAACGATTTAATTTTAATTGTATTTACAAATTATTTTTTTTAAAGAAAATATAGGAATGTAAGAAATAGTCTATTTAAAAATTACTAATTACTTTTTTTGTTTGTTTACAGTCCTAATGATTAGGCTAATCATTTGGGTATAGGGCTCCTAATTTTAAACATCTGAGGTTATGGCTCTACTGTCAAATTTGGCCGGTAAGCTGGACTGCTTCGGCCGGCTTAGCGGGGCTTAGTGGGAGTTATGTCCCGTTGCCGCACTCAAAACAAGTGGCAGAGTGTCAGTGGCGCCACTCCCACAAACGTCAGATTGTCGGCCACTATTTCGACCTCCTACGTGATAATTTTCAAATCGAACCATACCCCTAAACCTATACCCTAACCCCTAACCCTACACGCAATAAGCAGCCCTACACGCAACCGTAGGACGCTGATAGACACCCTACGCACCCGGATGATGACAGGTAAGTATGTCATTTGATTCGTGACTTTTTCCGCGACTTGTTTTGAGTTGTTTTGAGTTTGGCGACGGGACATAACTCCCACTAAGCCCCACTAAGCCGGCCGAAGCAGTCCAGCTTACCGGCCAAATTTGACAGTAGAGCCGAGGTTATTTCTGATCCTGTTGGCTTGAAAAAACCCCAAGTATTAGTACTATGTCTATCGCTATGATATGACATTTAATGTGTGGTCATGTCATCTACCAGAAGTGTCCTGACGTCAGTTTAGAAACAGAAGCAAAGCACCCATAACAGTATCAGGCTATTTTTTGAATAACGGTCCCAAATTATCGAGGCCGAAAATATACCCTAACAGGGCCTCAGTCACATGTAAATTGCGGACTTTTGCCACCACCGCCAAGAGTATCTCCCACGCTGCTACGTGCGGCTTGGATTGGGGCTGAACTAGATGGCTGGGACTCATGAGCTAATAAAATGAAGGAAGCTGCAGGAGATGCAGTAGCTGCTGCTCGTGAGTCCCAGCCATCTAGTTTAGCCTCAATTCATGCAGCGTGTAACAGCGTGGGAGATACTCTTGGCGGTGGCGATAGTCACTGGAAGTGCGCAATTTAAGTCACAGGAAGTCCGCAATTTACATGTGACTGAGGCCCTGTTAGGGTATATTGTTGGCCTCGATAATTTGGGACCGTTATTCAGAAGATCACCCAGTATCATAATATATGACATGACCATATCATTACATTAATTATCAGTCAGAAACATTTACAATAGCAGCTACTAAACTACTCAGACAACTGTATGATGTGAAATACATTATTAATATTATTGACTGTGTTTCCTTTATTTTCTCCATCTTTTTCATTGCCTTTTACTTCATTCATTCACTCTAAAGTCTAAAGATCAAAAGAATCAGCAAAGAAAGCAGCAGTGAGCAATTATGATGATCAGAGAACACCACAATTTAATCAGTAAATTATACCTATAATGTGGTTCATTGAATCTGTATCCCCAGAAACATGTCTGGTATAACTGTTGCTGCTGGAAATGCACTGGAGGAAGCCAGGAAAGAAACAGAGAAGAAAGATTTGACAATTGCTGTTGATGAAAAGGTGAATTTTCAATATTTTCTTTCTGGTCACTAAATTACATGCTTTTCATATTCTGGAATAATGTTAATTATGTGTGAGTCCTCTGGAAGACTTGATTTCTACTCTTTCGTATCCCAAGCCCTGGGAAGTAAAGGTGGCCGGCGTGATGCTGACCACATCACCAACCAAGTGCCAATTGGTCTATAAATATATTCCCAATGAGCCTACAGGCGTGGAAAAAAGACTGTTACTTTTCCTTTACCTGTACCCAGGCAGCTGTTGCTGCAACAACGCAGATGGAAACAACGCAGACTGCTGCCAAATTCTAAGTTGTCCGCTGCTGGAATCGCACCTCGGAATTACAAACCGCGTTCGCTACGCAAACGTTGCTCATAATTCAAAGATAATGCTTCAAAAACTATCTAATTTACTTCTTTTAATGTGTTAGTCAATCTTTCCACAAGGGACTGTGATAAACATTCTGTGTGTTTTTCGTTGGCACAGGAGTGGAGCAACTATGGGGTGACCCATTTGCTATGAAGCTGAAACTAGGATTACCAGATTACCAGCTGTTGCTCCAACTTCTATCTCTAGGAGTTAAGCTTAAAAGCAACAACAACAACAGAACAGTCTTAAGTCTGAAGAAATTAAACAAAACCACTACTGAATAGTCTCTGCTGGCAGCTTAATTTGGGGATAAAGTGCTTATGGAAGTACGCTCGAATGTTGGTTCATAACTCACATGTAAAGTCTATGCCATGTAGCCCTGGTAGTTATGTCTGTCCACAACCTTATGTTTCATGTACGTTGAATCATTTTTTACACAGATGATGCAAAACTGTCCATCATAGCAATGGTGATTTCGGTTACAGGCATAAAGGAAGTTGAAGCCTATAAGGAGATACTTCATACCTCATTTTGGGCACCAGCAGGCTGTGTGCTAGTTTTATAGATCATCATGCCCAACACTTGCCAGGTGACCTTGCTGTGCATACGGATAATGGTCTATATTAGCCTTTATCAAGCTGACAGAGGATCTTGGAGTGTATGCCCCCTTCCTGCATGGGTTATAATGGAAAACTCCTAGAGAAACTGTCATGCAAATGTTGATGAAGTGATGAAGCCAAAGGTGCTGGTTTGGATTCCTTCCATGAGATTGAAAGGTCTGTGCAGTATAAAATGTAATGGAGAACTAGACTGCAAGCCCTTGTGACGGCAGGATGCCAATGATGGTGAATGGTATCGACAAGTTTTAGATTTTTCACTGCAGCAAGCTCCCCATCCAGAAAAGACTAATTTGTAAATACTGAACTGGATTCCCAGGTGAAACCAATTAAATTAATGAATTCATCCTCCACAAATTAAATGTCACATAGAGCTCACAGTCTATTTCTCCATTACACTCCATCCTGTTCAATCAGACTGATATCATGGATGTAATTCAGTCCAGCACCTTCAACATTCACCTGAGAGTTTTTCTAGGATATCCTCAGTCCATCTATTCACCCCCCCCCCCTCCCCCCCCCTTCCGTCTCCATGGCGAAGTGGTCAAGCCATTTGCATCGCGCTCTTAAGGTCGTGGAGGTTCATTTCACGGCTATGACGTTCAAGTTTCACCAGTGAAAATGTTATGGAGGTCCCTAGGAATTGTCGCCAGGTATATAGAGGTCATGCTCTGCGATGTTCCTGCTGTTCTGTGGAGAGAGACTGGGCCATATGGGCTAAAACTAAGTGCAGTGAAGTCGATCCTGTCACCTTTTACCTTACCTGTCTATTTCCCATTTCAGTTTGATGATTCTCTGTTCATCTCTTCTCAGAACATGTCCAGCATAGCACTATCTTCACTATCTTATAAACTGTTGACACTAGTGGTTTTTCTTCTTCTTCTCTTCCACCTTGTACCTCATCAAAGTGTCGGGGGGAGTGTAATGTTCGTTGCCCTAGTGGTTGCCCAGACATTTCTCTTATTTCTTCACTCCTTTAATTTATCCCATTTTATGTCATGATTTTCTTATGCATTTGTTTTCAAATGCATTTAACTTTAGTTCCACGTCTTAATTGTTTCTCCAACTTTTCACAGGCACGTGTTTAAACTGAAATAACATTAGAATTGAAAATACAAAATTTGGTTCTAAAACTATATAATATAGTTTCAGTTTTAATTAGGTGTCTGAGAATTTCAAAAACACCTGGGCTTGTAAACTGAAAGTAGGAGTCTGAAATCGAAGCCACAGCATTCAAAGTGTGGGGCACATAGCCTCACCACTTCACCATGGAGTAATCATGGTGTGTTGCATTTGTCATAGATGTTTGTTTATTTCTAATTCTTTAGATAGATATCACCCCACTCAGCGGGGTGCCTGAGGAACATATCAAGACCCGCATAGTGAGGATATTTGTCCCAGCCCGTAATGCAATGCAGTCAGGAACCTACAACACTCGGAGATGGCGTATGGAATTTGATCAGAGGGAGAGATGGGAGAATCCACTCATTGGCTGGATTTCCACGTAAGAATAATTAAAAAAATCATCATGGTTGCTATTTTTTTATTTGAAGCTTGTATTTTAAAACATGCGTCCATCTACTATGAGAGGAAAGGAACCAACAGTCCGCAGGCACATAAGATCTGTAAAACAGGTATGCATGCAACTTTTCGGTTCTGAAACAGGTCTAGAGTCCAGATGTGGATGAACTAGAACTTTCTGCCGAAGTTTACAGCTGGTCAACACTAGCAGAAGAAGAAAAAAACAGCTGTTCTATTTGCTGTTCCAACAGCTTACAACATTGTTGTTATTTTTTGGTCTTTATTTCAGTCTACTGACATTTTTAAACTTTTTCTTTTTTAGGGGTGACCCATTGTCTAACTCTGAAGTGGACTTTAAGAGCAAGGAAGATGCTATTGCATTTTGTGAAAAAAACGGTAAGTTTTTGTGAGATTTTGTGACCACATATTTACATTTTCGGAAAAAAGTTAACAGTTTTTTGTAATTAGTTTCTGTAAGAGCTTGGGTCTATTTAATGTTGGGAGTTTAAAACTTCATAGACAAGAGTAATTTTATAGATATAAAAGAATTGGTTGCTGAATTCTCTCTCAGCCCTTCCCTCCCTCCCCCCCCCCCCCCACCAATCTCTTGCTCACCCGCCCCCTCCCTTTTCTGTCAGTCCCACTCTGCCATCCTCTTTCTTTCTCTTCCTGCCACTACCTGTTTAGTTCTCTCTCCCTCCCACCCACTGCTCTCCACCAGCGTCTCTACCTGCTTAAAATATGTATTTACATTGATTGGTTGCATTAACATTTATCAAATTGGAGGTCAGTAAAGAAAACTCATGAAATAAAGTTAACCGAAAGATAATGAACACTAAAAAGTAAAAATGAAAGATTAAATCCAAGAAATTACCATTTATTGTTTTTCTTAGTGTAATTTAACAAGCACGGAACAAATTGAGAAATAAATTTCAGAACTCTCTCTCTATCTCTCTTTTATAATGTTTCATCTCCTCTGTAGAGGTTGCTGCAATGTATCCACTGCTAACTATGGCAATATTATGGTGAGGTCCAAATCTCTTCCATGGTGCAACTCTTTTACCAATACTGTCTTCTGGTTTTTCTTCTTTAGTTCGTCCAAGTGATTCATTTGTGTTTTATTCGTTTACAGCAAAGCTGTGATATTTGCATCTTTTAGCTGACACATCTGACTTCACCAAGCATTTGTTTACTGGGTTAACTGCCCAGCCACTACTGTCTGAAAGCCGTGGGAACAGTCTTTTTCTGAACTTCCCACTGGGAATCGGACCCTGGTGAACGTTGAGGATTGTATTGTGAAACCATTTCACGAACCTTTAAGCCGCATAGCTTTACTCTTTACAAACCCAGAAACCGGTGAGGTATACAGAACTACAGAGAGTTGACTTTTGCAATGTGGGAAATATTTAGATGTAACTAGGTCAAGATGTAACAAGCGGTGCACACAGGAAAAAGAGGCTGTCAGGTTTCAGGCTAACAGGGCGTTGACGCGCCAGGTAAGATGGAATCCATCTGGTTAAATACTCCCTTAAACTGTGACAGGCCCAGCAAGCCAGCAGTGGATTAAAACCTCACTTGAAGAAACAGAAGAAAAATTGGCCTGAAATTTTGAACTACACCAGGAGACAACAGATCGGATGTTTGGATATGTGCACCAGACAGTGCACCACAGAGAGCCCTGTTGATTAGACACAATGGAAGTGAATCCAGAGGTCTACCGCACAAGCGATGGATAGATGGAATATCCGAGGTCATAAATGCCAGCATCTGCGTAGCACATACAAAGACTCTCACCCGATGCCTCTTTGAAACCTGATGCTGAAAGGCAGTCCAGAAGAAGATGAAGAACTAGGTCAGGATTGAGCAGGAAGATGTTGACTGGCTGAGGGTAGGCCTAGGTTATGAGTTTCCTGCACAGGTTTGTTTGTCAGTCCTGCTTTAATTGGTTACTGGTTACACTGTGTGTGTGTGTGTAGTGCACGCCTCGCTCCCACTTTCTTTCTCCATAACACTATGTGTACCTTATTGTCTCTGTCTTTGCACCTCTACCTGTTTCTCTGTGTGTGTGTATATATATATATACACACGCACACACACACACACACATATATATATATATATACACACACATATATATATATATATATATATATATACACACACACACATACATACATATATCTGCTTCTTTGTGCCACATTCTCTCTCTCTCTCTCTCTCTCTCTCTCTCTCTCTCTCTCTCTCTCTCTCTCTCTCTCTCTCTCTCTCTCTATCTCTATCTCTCTCTCTCTCTCTCTATCCATCCTCACACATGTCATTTCCTGTATCATGTGCTTTACTCTTCAGGCTGGGAATGGATTGTTGAGGAACCTAAAAGAGCTGAAAAGTTGATCAGGAAGTCGTACGGTGAAAACTTTTCCTGGAGTGCCAGAACAAGGGTCTCCACTAAGTAGTGACTGAAGAATGTAGATTAGCTTGCTTGTCCTTCAACTGTGTTCGTGGTTACTGTTTAATGTGTATGGATTTGTCCCCTTCTGAAAGTACAGCTTGTCTTGAAAGCCTTAGCAGTAATTTCATTGAGAAAGGAAGATATTTACTGATAGAGAGCCAGGTAGTGACAAAGTCACCATTGGGGAAGTTTTGGAAGATCCATATTTCACCCTGTTTTCAGAGGACTTTTTTTGCTTGTTGAACACCAGTTGATAAAAAGTATTGATCCCCTTTTCCCCTCCAGTTATTTTAGTCATTGACATTAGAATTATTGTTGATATATATAGTTTAACTTTGAAGTACTTGAGAAAACATTTAAACTAATGGTCAGTTGCCTTTGATTTTGTGAGAAAATACTGTTTCGTATTGTATTTAAAACAGGTAATCTGCAGTTCTGTAACAGAATGTTTGTACATGTGTTTGTTTGTCATTTACTGTGGTGCAGGACTGTAGATGAATATGTTTTATGTGTATATTAACATATATCAGTTGTGTGATTAATAAATATATTGCAGGAGACACATACATCTTGTTTGTAGTTAATTAGAATTTTATGTATCTGTCATGATAATGTTAGTATTGTGTGGATTTGTAGAGCACAGGGGTGAAAAAAAAAAAAAGTAATATTCAATCTATTACAGAAAATTAAAATAGAACAGAAATAAACTCTCTCGTTTTATGCTGGGTGTTCCATAAATTTCCATACATATGAAAATAAACATTTTTGGTTATCTTCCGAAACACGGTCCCAAATTATCTAGGCCGAAAATATACCCTAACAGGGCCCCAGTCGCCTGTCAGTTGCAGACTTCCGGTGACTTAAATTGCACACTTCGGGCGACTACCGCCGCCGAGAGCGCGGTGTGGATTGGGGCTAAACTAGATGGCTGGGACTCACGAGCAGCAGCTACCGCATCTCCTGCAGCTTCCTTCATTTTATTTGCTCATGAGTCCCAGACATCTAGTTTAGCCTCAATCCATGCCACGCGCGGTGGCGGAAGTCCGCAATTGACACGTGACTGATGCCCTGTTAGGGTATATTTTCGGCCTAGATAATTTGATAATTTGGGACCGTTATTCAGAAGATAGCCACATTTTTTTATGAACACCATTTTTTTTATTTATATAATATGCTGCACATGACTACAGGAGTTTTTTTTTAAACACATTTCAAACGCTGAAGAACACATAACTCAGCTGGAGTTATGCCTGTAGTGGCGTATGTGATATGTTAATTTTTTTTATGGGACACCCTGTATTTGATTTTTCAACTCCTATCGGTCAAAGAGCCTGTTAATTCTTCTTCTATTAGTCAGTACCAAGTAGTGTTGGTTTTAATGTCTGCCCACTGCACACTCATTGGTATGATGTTACCACATCACCACCAGGTGTTGATTGACTTGTAAAATATGAGTCTTAGCTCCAAATGCCCACTGCCGCTGACTTAAAAATCCCCCTTTTTGATCGCACATTCGTAAACTGTCAATAATTTTATTATAAAGATAATTTTTCAGTGCCTTGATGCCAAAGCTTCTAACACAGTGATTCCCAATTGCTTGGCTTACAGAACCCTTTTAGAATCAACTTCTATGATGGAGATCTACCATACTGTATGTTCTATGATGGTGTTTAGAGGTAATTTTAAGGAGCAGGGTAGACAGTGAGGTTAATTTGAAGTTAAGACATATCTGAACAGTTGTGCAATGACATTATCTTTTTGAACTTTACCAGAATAATAAATTTTTTTCTCAACTACCACCTGCACACATGATATTGTCATAACTTAGTCATATTTTTCTGTAGTGGCCATGGAGCCCATGGGAAGTGCACACAGAGCCCTTTGGATTCTGCGGAGCACAGATTAGGAACCGCTGGTTTAGAATACTGTCTCTTGGTCTTTGCTGCTCCAGCTTTCTTGTTACGACCACATACTCTAGTGTTTACCCTTAATATGACATGTCCAAAGAACCACTAGTATCAAAAGTAATAAGAAAAAGAAGATCATAATATATGAGCACATTATGAGAAGTGGACAGAGAATCACAACACAGGTATGGAAAAAAAAGAAATATTGTAAAGAAATGATAACATCCAAGAAAAACCCTAATATGAACATTGCTGAGAGAGGCCAAAAGTGTTGGACTAGATTCCATCCATAATATGAAAAGATTTGCACAGGTTAGAACAGAATGGACTAGACTGCAGGCTGTATGTCTTGTACAATGGCACATCAAGATGATGATAAGGGGTAAAGGCTAACTGCACAAGTAGCTGCTAAGCTGAAGAAGGCTACGATTTTTTCGTTAAATACAAACAAGCACAGGTCTTCCTCTTCGTGCCCGCCGGCTGTAAACTCCAACAGTAAGCTCTAACTGTCCACCTCAGAACTGTAATCTTGTTCTAGGACTCGAATGTTTTGTGTACATCAGTTTTACAGATCTGACTTGCTTGTATGCAGACTTTTGGTGCCTTGCTTCTCAGGCAGATCCATTCTGACTTCACAGGAAGCCCCCAGTTGGTCGACTCCAACAATATACTTGGATGTTTACCCTTCAAAGGTCCAAAATATTGTCATCTTCACAGATTCAATGTCTGCCCTTCAAGCTCTGGAGGGCAGTGAACGCTGCAGAACTGACAAAGCCAAGATAATCCTGGATGCTGATCAGCTTATTACCTCATACAACATCAGAATAGTGATGCAGTGGATTCCAGGTCACTCCGGCACACCAGGTAATGACAGAGCTGACAGATTGGCAAAGAAAGGAGCAACACAAGAACAACCACCTACGGCGACAACCTCCAGACAGCAAAAACACTGATAAGAGCTATAAACAAAGAGACTTGGTTGAACAGATGGGCCATGGGAGACACTGGAAGAGAGGTTTATAGACATATGTCTGGCCCTGATCCTAATGACAGCATTAACCATCTAACAAGAAGGGACCAGGCCACCATCTTCAGACTTAGAACGCAACATACTCCACTCAATGGACACCTAAACAGAATACAGCCACAACACTCACCAGAGTACCAGCTATGTAACTACCCCTACGAAAGTGTTGAACACCATCTCTTTGAGTGCCCAAAACTCAGTGAGACACGAAAAACGCAACTCCCTCCGAGACCAGACAATTGGAACACCTTGTACGGAGGAAAAGAACAGCTTGTGAAAACATGCAAATTCCACTACATGGCATTGGGCCAAAGGGCGAAAGCTCATGCGCCGCTGGATCGATAACAACAACAACCAACAATAAACTTGGGGGGGGGGGGGGGGGGGGGGGGGGGGGGGCAGTGGGTCTGTTCTTATTTTCTCCCTCAAAAGGGTCCTAAGATCCACATAGGGAAAGCTCAGGTCGGAACAGGACATTTTATGGTTTTTTATTATCTCACCCCAGATGACGTTACAGGACAGTCCAACATTTTAGAGGGTGGTAAGACTGGATTTCCCAGCTTTCTGATGCTTTTAACGACCCCTAAATTTTTAGAACTGGCCACTACCCACCTACGTCCCACAAGAGAGTGCAGCCTAGGTCCCACGACTGCATGCAGCCTGTCTACCATCTCCTGAAATATTAGACGTCCCGTGACCTGTGGATTTCCCTTTTTTGGGTTGAGGATATTAATCAAGAACCCATTTTGTTATTTTGATTACTTTCTCCCCTGCACATGGACATTATGTTTCAAACATGAATTAACATGCGGCAACGATACCTCTTGTCAGAAGTGGACCTCCTACTAATTTTTAAAGGGTCACAAGAACACTTTATAATGTCAGAACTGGAACTCAGTGGAATCTGATCAAACAGTTTGATGCTCTCAGTTTCACAAGTTATTTTATCCTCCATGTCAGGGCTATTTGACTGATGGTCCGATTGCCAAATGTGGCCCATGGAGGCCTGGCAAGTGGCCCGTGGATCATTACAAGTTGTTCTGTATTACTGTTCCTTCTATGCCGGGGCTTGGCCCTCTGGCCTGTGACGATTGCCATTTTCAGAATGTTGGCACCTGAGTAAATTTAGTTGAATAGCCCTGCTCTATTGAAAATCTATGGTTAAGCACCAGCAAGGAGATCAAAAATTAGAATTTTGAGAGCAATACATCTTCCCTGTAGCAACATATGGATGTGAATCATTGACTATCTCCCAGTCTTTAGGAAAGAGAATAGGGGCTTCTGAGCTAAAATGCTATAGAAAGATTTTCAAAATATCTTGGACAAAGATGAGGAGAAATACTGACATCTTGAGGATCTAAACATCAAGGAAGATTGGCTAATAAACAGTATCCTGTCTCGGAAGCTGAAATATTTTGGTCATATTAGGAGCCACGATGGATTGGGAAAAAATAGTAGCAAACGGCATGGTACCAGGAAGGAGGTGCAGGGGCCGCCCAACACGAAGATGAGCACAGGATATAAGTGACTCCTTGAGTATGAAAGTACATGAGGCAGGAGAGCTGGTTAGAGACAGTTTCTTTCCGGCATGACAGTGACTTTCTGCAAAGGACCTGCTACACGATGATGAGCCCTGCTCTATGTTACTGCAGAAAATCGTAAGTATAGAATGAATGGATCAAGAATTAATGTTACTACTGGTAATCTGGTAATCCTAGTTTCAGCATCATAGCAAACGGGTCACCGCATTGTTGCTCCGCTCCTGTGCCAACGAAAAACACTCGTAGCTCACAGTGTCACACCATGCACTCAACTCAGAAGCTGGGTGACGAAACTATAATGAAATGAATGTTACTACATTCAGGCTATTCTCCCACTAACTCTTTTCCCATCCACAGTAGCTAACGAGGAGTTAAGACAGATACAATTAAACACTTAGAATAATAAAGTTTATGTATTTTCGAGCAAGATTCTCTGTATCTGGAAAGTAAAACGTAAATAGGCAATAGAAAAAAAATATACTTGTTAGGTAGATTCTCTTCTACCTTGGGGTGTAGAAGTTTGCCGAAG